ATCTGTTGAAGGCCTGGTGATTGTTTTTAAGGCAGAATCATCTTAGTCTCTGTGTCTGCGTTTAAACTGTTAACACTGTGTGTTTAACGTGATACCTTAGTGATAACACTGATTTGAAATAGTTGTTTATTTCTAGGAATAATTATATTATCTAACTTATGTTCGTGTTTTTATTGGGATCATGGTTATACTCTTAATTTGATTTTACTTAGTCAACCTATATTGTCTAAATTAAAGAGCTGTGTTCTAGCTTTATTTATGTTAATCAGTCTGCTCTCTGGCCTGATTTGATTGCTTGTAATTTATCAAATGTGAACTTGTAAAATTATCCTTAGCTACTATGATATTATATTTAAAGGTCAACTAGTTAGAATTAGCAAACATTTTCTATAAACCTAGTTCAACCTTGGAAGAAAGACACGCACACCCTTTATGTGACATGACATTTGAGTGCTTGATAGGAAGTATAAAAATGTATAAAATATTAAATCCAACAAGTTTTTAACCCTTCCACTGCTGGTCAGTTCTCTGCTGCCTTTGAACAGCTCTGTGCTCCCTCTGGCTCTGCTGCTGACACCGAACAGCTGAGCTCCTGGTTTGACTCCTCCTGTCAAACCATTTTGGAATGTGAAGCTCCATCTAAACTGGTGCGGCTTAAAGCCAGATCTGAACCCTAGTTTAATGAAAAAACTATTGCAGCCAGACAGGAGTGCTGCAGAGCTGAACGGAGATGGAAAAAGGATAAACTGGAGGTTTAATTTTACATTTTAAAGGACTGTCAACGTCAGTACCAGAACACTGTTAAAGAGGCCAAAAAACAACACTTGTCAGACATTATTGTGTCCAATCATAATAATCCACGTGTCCTTTTTAAAACTATTGACTCTGTCCTGAAGGCCCCACAACCTGTCTGTCTGGAAGCCTCTACTGAACTTTGTAATGACTTCCTGCAGTTTTTTATAAATAAGGTTGTTACCACAAGGGCCCTTATTTCAGCCCCTGCTTTTGACCCCTCCAGCTTGGTCCCCTGCCTGGCTGTGTTTGATAGATTTGAACCAGTGACCCTGACCCTTTTAGAGGATGTGGTTGGCCATATTAGACCATCAGGTTCTCCTCGTGACCTTGCCCCCCCTCGTCTTTTAAAAGAGGTGTTTTCCAGCATCAGGCAGGTGATTCTTGCTGTTATCGATAGCAGTCTGTCCTCAGGTGTTGTCCCAATAAGTTTTAAACATGCTGTGGTGCAGCCCCTGCTTAAAAAGCCTAGACCAAACTGTCTTGGCTAATTTTAGGCCCATCTCCAAGCTGCCTTTTATTTAAAAAATTTTAGAAAAAATTGTACATTCACAAGTCAAATGTTTTCTGGATGAGCACATCCTGGAGGTTTTTCAGTCTGGCTTCAAAACTCTCCACAGCACAGAATCAGCTCTAGTCAGAGTTTTTAATGATGTTCTTATGGCTAATGATTCTGGTGAACATGTGGTTCTTGTCCTGCTCGACCTAACAGCTGCCTTTGATACCGTGGACCACAACATTTTAATATCACGCTTACAGCGCCAAGTGGGTATTTGTGGTACTGCACTGAGCTGGTTTAGGTCCTATCTGGCAGACAGAACCATGTCTGTCAACATAGCTGGGTCTGAATCCTCCACTGCTCCTCTGTGTTTTGGGGTTCCACAGGGCTCTATTTTAGGTCCCCTGCTTTTCTCCCTTTACCTGCTTCCATTGGGATCAATCCTTAGAAAGCATGGATCTTTTTTCATTGTTACGCTGACGACAGTCAGATCTATATGCCACTTAAAAAGAAAGATGCCCCCTCAATTAGGCCACTTCTGTTGTGTCTTGAAGACATCAAAGCCTGGATGTCTTTAAACTTCTTAAATTTCAATGAAAAGAAAACAGAAGTGATGGTGTTTGGTCCTAGTGGCTCTTGTGAACCTTGCCCTGTTGATCTGGGCCCTCTGGCACCACATGTAAAGAAAACTATTTCTAACTTGGGTTTTAAAATGGACAGTGATTTTAAGTTAGATTCCCAGATTGGAGCAGTGGTCAAGACCAGTTTTTATCACCTCAGACAGCTGGCTAAGGTAAAGTCCATCCTTACAAAACAGCAGCTGGAAACAGTAATCCATGCCTTCGTCACCTCTCGGCTGGATTACTGCAATGCTCTTTATCTTGGAGTCAGCCAGTCCTCTCTCAGACTCCTCCAGTTGGTCCAGAACGCTGCTGCTCGGCTTCTAACTGGAGTTCAAAAAAGGGAGCACATCACCCCCACTCTGGCTTCACTCCACTGGCTGCCTGTTCATTTTAGAGTTAATTTTAAGATTCTTTTATTTGTTTTTAAAAGTTTAAATGGTCTTGCTCCATCCTACCTCTCTTGAGTTGCTTCACCCATACTCTCCTGATCGGTGCCTCAGATCAGCTGATCAGCTGCTCTTGGAGGTGCCGAGGTCTAAGCGGAGGCTCAGAGGGGACAGAGCTTTTTCTGTTGCTGCTCCAAGACTGTGGAGCGATCTCCCTCTTCCATCAGACGAGCCCCTTCACTGTCCAGTTTTAAAACTCTTTTAAAAACACATTTTTACTCCCTGGCTTTTAGCACACACTGAATTTACTCTGCACTGTTTTTATTACTTTTATTGATCTTAATGTTTTAACAACTGTTTTTATATGTTTAAATGTTCTTGATTTTATATGCACAGCACTTTGTGGCAGCTGTGGTTGTTTTAAAGGGCTTTATAAATAAAGTATTATTATTATTATTATTATTATTGTTATTGTTGCCAACCTGTACATGGAGGAGGTAGAAAAGAGAGCCTTGACGTCCTTTTCAGGGACACCACCAAGTCATTGGTTCAGGTATGTTGACGACACCTGGGTTAAAATTAAATCTCAGGAAGTCCAACATTTTACTGACCACATCAACTCTGTAGATAAATACATCAAGTTCACACGAGAAGATGTAAAAAATGGCAAGTTGGCTTTCTTGGACTGTGAGGTCTCACAGGTCTTTGAGAGAGGAGTAAAGGAGGCCATCTTTGTGAAAAGAAACCGTCCATCATTAAACAGGGGTGGAGGCCTCCGGGTTCAACTTTCCCCCTCTTACAATGTTATTATTGCTAGTATCACTCAGCCCTCTGTGAACAGTAAACAGCCATCAGGTGCTAATGATCCATTGTTAGGCTGATGGTCCTTCTTGAGCATGTGATCAGCTGGTTTTGGTTGTCAGCAGCAAAACTGGTTGATCCACTCTGAGAAGGTGCTATTTAAGAGACTGAGCTGAATACAGCTCCTCAGACTGAGGAAGTCTCTCGGATGAGAGACGAAACGTTTCTACATTTTTTGTTGTTTTGCTTTGTTTTGTTTTTTTGAATGTCCAGAGGACCAGATTTAACTTTTTTAGATCTACTTACACATTACTTTAAAAAGATAAGCACTACCCTCAGTAAAACATTACAGTACTTTTACTGTTGAATATATAATCTGAAGAGACTTGCATTTTGCCCAATGATTGTTGGAATAGGCACATCTTCTCTCGGTGACCCTCTGCATGGAAAAATACAAGGAAATGTACAAGGAAATGAAGCAGATAGATGGATAGTTCAAACAAATTAATGCGATAGTTACTTAATGTTTCCAGGCAAGCAGACAGAAATCAACACATTATACAAGTGTCTACAAAAATGATCTTGACAAGAAAAAGAGAGAAATACAATATAAATACATGTATAGTATAAATTAAATCTAAAACGTTTTTTTGTTTTATTTGTTGTGTTTTATTAGGAACTGTCTAGATTCATTCAACATTAATTTATACAGGTTAGTCTCACTGAGTCGCGAGGACTCATTTACAAGAGAGACCTGTTTTAAACAAAGAACACATATGAGGTACAGACATTGTACCTCAATGTAGAGGTGTGATGATTTGTGATGTGATGATCTCTGAGCTGCATATGTTTTGTGCAGTTTGAGGCGGAGTACCGTCGTTTTGGTCTGAAGAAGAATGGCTCAGGGGGCTTTAAGGAGTTCTACCACCTCCTCCAGACCATCCATCACATCCACGGATTGGACATGCTGCTGGAATATGCTGACATCCACGGAGACTTGCTCCCGATCAACAATGATGGAAACTTTCACAAAGCTGTCTCTTCAGCCAATCCGCTGCTGCGCATAATCATAACCAAGAGAGGTAAGAGGAGAGATGTGACATTCGAACACCTGGACACGTGTGGTGAGTCCAAAGGCCTAAACACGATGTCAGCATCTTGAAGAATTTGTTGTCATACTCAGTATTTAACACTAACCTATTGCCTTTGGCAGTGGACAACATTGTTGTTTTTTTTCTGTTTGGTTTTTTTTTGTATTTCAGAGTGTGTGCTTGTGAATGTAACAAAATACCTCATGATTCATTGTACATACTCTATTTTATTTAGATGCACCGATAGTGGCCGTTGGAAAAACACTGGCTTCAACTCAGTTTACAGATAATGAGCTAAAGTTAGATGTGGTTGTAGCTGAGAGTCGCCCACAGCTCACATTTAGAGCACTAACTGTAATGTCTGTTTTTACAACTTTGGTATTTCCTCTTACAGTAAATTATGCATGTCTCTTAGTAAAATATGTCAACCCATTGGACAGATTTTATTCAAACCCTCAGAAAGTCATCACTGCCTATTAAAGGCAGCCCCTATTATTATCCACCTGGAAATGATCTTGCTCTTCTATCAACATTAATGCAGCCCAAATCGCGATGTGTACCCCCACAAATGTTATATCAAAACAACCAGCTTGGACACGTGATGTGTGCTACTACATTTATTGGCATTTCGAGTTACTATGGCAACATAATTTTCAAACAAAGATGCAATTTTTCTCATTGAAAATACTGACAGAACACTTGTGACCCTCTAAGGTCACATGACCTAGAGTGGAGAGGTTCATGAAGGAAACAGAAACCTATCGAACAAGCTCTTCCTACTACTACATCTTTTAAGATACACTTATATATTATAGATCAAAACGTAGGCAGTTTTGTCTTCTTTCCACCAGTTTGTTTGGGTTGGCTGTAGGAGCTATGGTTTTTTCATGAGGTGCCGTAGAAAGGAGACCGAGACAATTTCACTCTAATGTTTCACCATTATAAAACTGGCAACTTTTTTGTTCGGATCACATTGTCAGGAGAGTTTTTAACTAGGGGTTGAACAGACTAGTCAATTAGTCGATTCTAGGGCAACTCGTTAGTTTTTGTATTTCACATCGACTAGTCGCAATCCTCCCCACCCCCCCGCTGTTCCCAGCCCTATTCCACCCAATCAACATAGTGGATTAAATAAATTAAAACTAAAAACAGCGGGGCAGTAGAGCTGGTCCATGACAGAGTTCAATTGCGCTTTCACATCTCCCCAAATGAACCGGACTTTCTAGGCAAACGAACTAGAGTTTGATTAAAGTGGAATAAACAGGGCTGGTGTGAATGCACCCTAAAAGTCCAGATGGATGACAGCGACCCAGCTGAAGCTTTCCAGCCGCTGTGTCAGCGGACACGCGCAGCTGACGACTGTTGATAACTAAAATAACTATAATATTATAATAAGCTGCTCCACCACCTCCAACCCCGCTGCCTTCAGTTCCATTCCACCTAATCCACGGTGCGGGATTAAATAAAATAAGGCTAAGAACAGTTGGCAGGCGGTGATGGAGTCCACCACCGCCTGCCAACTGTTCTTAGCCTTATTTTTTACGTGCCGCACGTTTTTCACTTTTGCAGCTTAATAGTTTTTGTTTTCCTTTGCGTTATGATAAACGGTAGGGGCATAAATATATGCCCAATGTTTTGTTGTTGTGCCTCATTGACCCCTTCATACAGCTCTATACTAGATCTCTACAAAGCTAATTGAAAAAATCATTCTAAAGAAACTAATCAGAGCTTTATCACATTCATACACTGATGGGACACACATCAGAGCCAATGAGGGGTTCAGTGTTTTGCCCAGGGACACTTCGGCATGTGACAGCTGGTGGATTCGAACCCCCAACTCTTGCATTGGAGGACGACTGCTCTAACCAATCAGCCACAACTGCCCTTGTTAACAACATATCTCATGAACAGCTCATTGGATATGTTTGAAACTCACAGAAAGTAATCATCAGATGTATCTCTAGAACTGATTAATGTTTGGAGCCATTTTTATTCAAGATGGCTGCCATAACTACCTCAGCAAACACAAAATTGACTATAACTCAGTAATTCTTTGAGATATTGAGCTGAAATCTAGTATGGTCATAGCTGACAGACTTGTTATTCCTAATGCAACTCAAATATCCAAGATGACCACTTTAGCGAAAAATGAAAATATAAGATAACTCGACCATTTTTAGAGTGATTCAGTTTAAATTTGGCCTATTGGTAACTGAGAACTATCCCTAATAGACTCTGACTGAAAAATCAGATATTTGAGATGGCCACATGAGCAAAAAAGGAAAAATACTATAAATCAGCCTGTAGATCCTTATTGAGTGAAACCTGAGCCTGAAGCCCCCATTGGCTTTGACATAATTCTTATCCAGTAAAACTAAATTATTCTCAGCGGCTTGTGTTAAAATGTTTACTTAAAAATAAAGGTCAAGATCAAGGTTTCTTTATTATTATTCGCATCTCATGTGGTACATGTGGTGGAGCGAAATTGTGCACACAAAGTCCCAGTGCCAACAAAAGTATAAATTGTAAAAGAAAAACTGTAATAAGATCTAAGGTATGAACTAAGAAACATGCTAAACTAATAATACGCTAAACCTTAATAGTAAAAAAACAATACGCCAAAAAACAGCAGTACGAACATTTGTCTGTGTGAGCAGATGAGTACAAAAGAACACAACAGCATGAAATAAATGAGCAGCATGACATCATCAGCATGGATAGGCAGCAGCACAGTCAGCAGTATGGGGGGCAGGAGTCTTCACATGGATCTTCAACTCTTCTCTGGAGTCATGCCACGTCCCAGCCTGTTTCAAGTCCTCCATCATCGTCCCTGTCCCCAAGAAGCCACGTGTCACAGGACCAAATGACTACAGACCTGTAGCTCTCACGTCTGTAGTCATGAAAACATTTGAACGCTTGGTTTCATCTCACCTCAAGTCCATCACCAACCCCCTCCTGGACCCCCTGCAGTTTGCCTACAGGGCCAACAGGTCTGTAGATGACGCAATAAACCTGGCTCTTCACTTCATCCTGCAGCACCTGGACTCCCCAGGAACCTACGCCAGGATCCTGTTCGTGGACTTCAGCTCCGCATTTAACACCATCCTCCCTGCTCTGCTCCAAGACAAGCTCTCCCTGCTCCATGTACCTGACTCCACCTGCAGGTGGATCACAGACTTCCTGACAGACCGGAGTCAGTGCGTATGGCTGGGGAGAGCTGTCTCGGACACTCGGACTATAAGCACAGGATCTCCACAGGGCTGTGTGCTTTCCCCCCTGCTTTTCTCCCTGTACACCAACTGCTGCACCTCCAGCCATGACTCTGTGAAACTTATTAAGTTTGCAGATGACACCACCCTCATCGGGCTCATCTCAGACGGTGATGAGTCTGGATACAGGAGGGAGGTGGACCGGCTGGTGACCTGGTGCAGCAGCAACAACCTGGAACTCAATGCCCAGAAGACAGTGGAGATGATTGTGGATTTCAGGAAAGCCACAGCCCCTCTGCCCCCCCTCACCTGTAATGATACTCCCATCACCACTGCAAATTCTTATCGGTTCCTCGGCACCACCATCACCCAGGACCTCAAGTGGGAGCCGACCATCAGCTCCCTCATCAAGAAGGCCCAGCAGAGACTGTACTTCCTGCGACAGCTGAAGAAGGCCAAGCTACCGGCCAAGCTAGTGGTGCAGTTCTACACGGCCATCACCGAGTCCATCCTCAGCTCCTCCATCACGGTGTTGTACGCCGGGGCCACTGCCAGGGACAGACTCAGACTGCAGCGCGTTGTGCGCTCAGCTGAGAAGATCGGCTGCAGCCTTCCATCCCTCCACGACCTGTACGTCTCCAGGACTGTGAGGCGAGCAGGTCGGATCACAGCTGACCCTGCTCACCCTGCACACGGACTGTTTGAACCACTCCCCTCAGGCAGGAGGCTTCGGTCCATTCGGACCAGAACCTCCCGCCATAAGAACAGTTTCTTCCCCTCTGCTGTTGGACTCCTGAACACTCATAATGCTACCTCATAATTTCTGCTTTGGTCACATTACATCTGTATTATAACTGAATACTCCATCTGTACTGTTCTCTAAGCTTTTTTATTGTTTTCTATTGTATGGGTGTACATATAGTTATGTTATGTTTTTAATTTTACTTTATTTGTGGGTGTACACAGGTCTTATGTCTTATGTAATGTTCTCATTTTTACTTAATTTTTACTTTATTTTTACTTTATTTTACTTTATTACTATTCGCACCTTATGTCGAAGCAAATTCCTAGTTTGTGAACCTCAATCTTGGCGCGGTTGCTTTTGTTCAGTTCCTGGTTGTTCTTGTGGGGCAAGAAAACAACCATATCTGTCCTACCATGCTTTTCATGACACACCCAGACTGTAAGGATGGTACTTTTCTGTGGCCCGGTTTGTGTCTGTGTTCCCTCGTGCTCCCTCATTAGTTCCATTGTTACCACCCGTGTCTCGTCCCAGCTGTCTGTAATCATGTCTCGTCTTGTCTCTGTATATAAGCCGTCTGTTCTGTCTTGTTGATCGTCGCGTCGTACTCGTTGGATCTCCTGTGTCTTCCCCTGAGTCTTCCTGGTTCCTCGAGTCTCCCGTGTCTCCTGAGTCCTCCTGAGTTTCCCGTGCCTCCTTCCTATGTTCATGTAAGTTTTGCTGCCCCGTCAGCTAGTTGTTTTGTATCCTTATTTATCATTAAATTCCTATTTTTGCAATTCTGCCGAGTTGAGTCCCTGTTCTGCACTCTGGGTTCGCTCCTGACCACAAATCCTAACACAGACCAAAGGATGCAGAGGATTCAAGCGATCAGGAGAGATGAGGGTCCCGACTTCTGCATAAAGCCAGGGAGCACTTGTAGCCTGCATTTCACTCAGGAGGATTTTGTCCGTGGATCCACCACCAGCTGCTTTAAAAGTTGAACTGTTTCTTTCTCTTCACCTGGAATAATTTCACCGCACCAGCTAAGAGAGAGTTTG